ATATATATATATATATATATATATATATATATATATATATATATATATATAAACTATAATAGGATAACATTATATATTAACACAGTAAAAAAACTATGCAGTTAAAATCTATAATAATCCATAAACATTTAGTAAATTTAAAATATTAATTAAAGCTAAAAATAAGCAGTTAAAGTTAAACATTAAAAGGATACACATCAACATCATAAAAAAAATGTCCATGGTATTTTTTAAAAAATAACTATTGAAATATATTTGTGGATAATGATAACAAATTAGTATTTATCTTATTAAATTTTTGTTAATGTATTAAAAACATATTGTTCATGAAAGATAACATTACAAGAATAATTATAAAACACGCTTAAGATTCTTATTCTTATTTTTTATCACAATTTTATAATGTTATATATAATTTTTATAGTTAAAATGAACGTGATAATTTAAAATATTATCATGTTTAAATAAAATATACTTGTTGTTTAAATTACTATTATAGCATAAACACAATAAAATAGAGTGTATTTCAACATTATACAATAATATTAGTATATACAAAGTATGCTTTAGTTTTAAATTTAATTTATTTATTTAAATAAGTTTTCTAAACATTAAAAGTTTAATAATAATAATATTAATAAATATCGCTGCATTTTTAGAGAATATTTTATTTAAATATATCTCTATTGAGTACGAAAAATTTTATTTTGCTCTTCCAAAATCTAAATTTGTAGTTTAATCTCTAGATTTTAAAATTTTTAATTTTTAAGTTGATAGCTGATGTGAACTAAACAAAAACGAAATGCAACTTTGACTATCGTAAAAACGGTTATAAGCATAATCTGTATTTTAATTTAGTTCATAAAATATATTCTATGAGGAACGGTAATCGCAAAGTAAATATTATTATAATAATAATAGTCTCATTATTCTGGTACTAGCAGAAAATGTGAATTTAGGTTGTAACGAGGCTAACCATTCAACTTTTTTAGCATCACGTAGCTAAATTTAGTATCTTTAAAATGTTTGAAAATATGTTCTAATCCAGAATTTTATTTTTTTACAATAATTTTAAAAAATATTTAATGTAAACAAATAAAGTTCAACTACATTAAACATAGTTTTCAAAATAACAATAATACTTAAGTTTAAATAATAATATAATTATATTTATAATATTATTTTTTTAATTTATATATTTTGTATATGTGTGACTATTCTTCCTTGTAAAAAGTAAATCACAATAATTTGAGTACCTTCAGCATTTATGAATGCAACACTTGTTACACTAAAACTACAAATAATCATCTTCAATCATAAAATAATTATATTTTAAATAAATATTAAATATAAATATAATATATGGTGAAGCGTGCATGGCACTTGTTATAGCAGTGATGGATGTCCCACAGATTTTTATTTCGATATCTCCCAAGCTTGTTAAACTTGAAAACTAAGGGTAAATTCTTTGCAAAATTCACTTACAAACTTGTTGAAGCTTTTTAATCTAGAATTATTGTTCCAGAAACATATCAAAGTTAAATAACATTAACAAGTAACACGTTTCAACCTTATTAAATAAGTTAAATCTGTTGGATAAATAAGATAATATCATATAAATGTGATAGTATTTATTAGATAAATTTAATATACTTTATTTATCAATTTACGTAATGCATATACACATATAGATGTAAATGATTTAAATTAGACTTTTAAATTGCTAATATTATCATATACATACATCAATAGAAAATTCTTAAGAAAAAAACTGAGTATTTTCTTTCAACAAATATTATGTTAATTAAGAATTTTTTTGTAAAATATTTTAATTCCTGACACTTAATGTTTTAGAGCCACTCGTTAAATGAATATAAGATATAATTAAATCTTTATGAGATTAATGATATTCAAAAAAGACATCTATTCTAACCAATCGGTTTGAGCTTTACAAAAAAATTTGGTCAATGCAAATTAGATGAAAAAAAAAAGTTTTTCTTAAATCAATCAATATAAGTTAATATGAATAATAGTTTTTTTAATAAAATGATGAGTAATATTACTTATACGCACCTTGATTAATATATTACCTACTTAATTTAAACCTACTATTACATATTTTACACATAATTACGAGCCTCTCCTCTCCCTTATTTTTAAGATATTGTTATTCTACATATCAAAGTAATTGATTAAAAGCATTTATACACAGAATCTTCTTATTATTGAAGAATTTTAATGTTTATAGAGATGAACTTTGTCAAATTATCACAATTTAATCTTGTTATTATAGTATATTTTAGACTTTTGCACATAGGTCAAAATTCAACTCAAGTATTTAACAAAACCAATTCATGTGCAGTAGAGTGTGCACATGAATGACAACATTGAGAACAGTAAACATTCCCAGAAAACTAATATACAACGTTAATGTTGTAAAATTCACATATATTAAAATGTTTAAACTAAACGAGATCTTTTAGGTTAAAAACAAAAGACTAACCGTGGTTACACATGATAATTAGAAACGGGGTCATCGTTAGCTAGTGAATAGCAGCGGTGGTGCCGATGGGCCAAGAACCAAATGGGGAGGAAAAGAAAAGGGATGGCTCTGTTTATTCGAAGGAGTGTTATGAATGTTCCCGTACTACTATCACCTGCCAGGGCAGCACGTAAACACCAAAACTCATGCTCCAGCAGTCAAGAATTTCCTATTATCTAGTGAGATACAACTCAACTGTTCCAACTGTAAAGAGTCGCAATATAGTAAATGTAAAAATGGGAAGAATTTCTGGAGTTGCAGCTAGCAACCATCTGAATCTTCCTCAATTGAAATGTCAGGGCCTGGCCCGCTAAAACAGTAATTCCTTCGCGTGAATAATAATAGTACCACCATCTCGTTCTGTCCGTAATCTTAGACCAGGAATCCCAAATTTCTTATTATGGAAGTCTAAGACTCGGGTTCTACTTGCAGCAGGAACTACTCTGTTTTTGCATCTTTGACTCATCAGTTTTCTTGAAGTCACCAATCAGCTTGTCCTTGTCAGGTAAGACTTGATCAACAACGAAAGAATAGTTCTTGTGAGACCTTTGCTTATCTCTGTAATTTGATGTTTTGGAAGGGGAACCAATGGTTGGGTCAGGGGATGAATTTAAAATATGAGCCACAGAAACACTCAAGCTGTCAACATTATCTGACTTCTTGACACCATTCTCTCCTTCCTTGCAGCTGTGCCACAAATCCATAGTTTGCCAAAACGAACTGTCCCGTTCATTACAAATTGATTTCCTCTGCTCTTCAGATTGAGTTAAATAAGAGTGGTCTCCTTCAGATGCACAAGTATCGTCATCTGATACAACAAGTTCATAACCCAAACCACTCTTGTCAAAATTTTTGATAGAAACAGGACCCAACTCCTCCCATTCAGATTCCATGTCATCATCTTTCAGGGTTGACTCAGATAATTCGCTATCTGAGTTGGAGACTGCATGACTATCAGCGGTTGCTTTAGTTTTGAGGATAGAAGTATCCAAATCAGAATCACATACAACAGGAACAGAAGGATAAATGTAAGTAGACTCAAATTTAACCCCAGGCATTATCTGTAGCAAGGCTACCAATTTTTGATAACCAAGCTTCTGTAAATCAAGATGATAGCCATACTTATCAACAAATAGTCTTCGGAAAGCACCAATATTATATCCCTCTGGGTGTTCCCTTAATATCTCATTAACAAGTTTCTGGCAGTCATCCAATATATCATTTCTAGATCTCTCAAAATGTTTTGTTTCAACAGCCGCTGCAGAAATTGGTGTACGAGGAACACTCTGATTGTGTTTCCCCACATCATGTTCTAGAGATTGTGATGATCTGCGTAGAAAGATAGATCTCAAACCATTGCCACCACGGGATTGGTCCACCGATAAATTCTTATGAACTGGCTGAGTTAGCTTAAAAGGAAATGCTTGGGACGGCCTTTCCTCCAACCATTTTTTGTCTGCTATTAACATATCAACCAATTGAAGGATATCTTTTTTGGGGAGTGATCCGAGAAGCAGGGGTCCTACATTTTGTAACCTTTGCGCCACATCCTCCCTGGCAGAAATCATACGTAGCAGAAAGTGATTAAATTACGCTTTCACAGAGTAGCTACACAATGATTACATATATATCAAAGGTACACTTTCAACGGACTTTGCGATATAATTAGTTTGCTATAATGTTTTCTTCTCTTTGGTAGTTGAGATTTAGACTAGAACAAGGAACGAATGAATACGTGGTGGCCTAAAGTTTTTTACTATCCAAAACACGGGAAAATTTACAAGATCTGTACAAAACTAATTTGCACACTAACCTGCTTCTTGACTGGGAGAAAAGAAGTGATCCTTTGGGTCCAAACATAAAAGATTCCATATCATTCCAAAAGGAAGCACTGGAAAATAACTCAGGCTTTCCGGAATGACCAACATTCTGATTCAGTTCTGGTAGCTTGGGCTCTTCAGATTGATTTACAGTGCGATCCAGTTCAGATAACTTGGAATCCTCAACATGACTAACTCCCTCCCTTTGATGAGCCGTCAAATCATCATATTTTAACTCAGGCTTTCCGGAATGACCAGCATTCTGATTCGGTTCTGGTAGCTTGGGCTCTTCAGATTGAGTTACAGTGTGATCCAGTTCAGATGATTTGACCTCTTCAGATTGACTAACAGTCTGCTCCAGTTCAGATAACTTGGAATCCTCAACATGACTAACTCCCTCCCTTTGATGAGCCGTCAAATCATCATATTTTTCATTGTTTTTCCCAAATGGCCACCACCGTTTAATCCAGTGAAACAGTGTTGGACTTGTTTTATTAGTTTCAGCGCTTCCGCCAGGCTTTTGGGCAGCCTCAGAGCAATCAATTGGTGTAGATAGGCTTGGAAAAACTTCGTCAACCTCCTTACTAGTTCGATTCTCACATTCATTCTTTGCTTCAAAATTTCCAGAATCATAATTAGCCATAACATTGTTTTCCACCATCGATTGATCATTTCCAGCAGAGAGATTATCTTTAGTAGTATGTTTTTCCATACCAGCAACTTTAGACCTAACAGTGTTAATATCAGTCAATTTTTTAGAACTCTTTTTTAGGGTATCCATCTTAGTTTTGGAATCTTTGCTATCCTCACGTGGCAGTTCAGTTTCTGACTGTGGAGCATTAGCCGCATCCACAAACCTGTCACAAGCCACAGCAGACTTCCGCAACTCATTTTCCTCAACAGGTTTCCCTTTTGAAGACCCCGATTGTACTGATTTTAAATAGTCCCACATACTCCTTTCAGCATTTGACAATTTCCTGTCAGCATCCCTAACCTTACTTTTAGCCTCGCCATTTACCTTTGATGCCGCTGCACATCGTTTCTCCTCATTCGTAGCATTTGCCAATTTCCTGTCAGCATCCCTAACCTTACTTTTAGCCTCGCCATTTACCTTTGATGCCGCAGCACATCGTTTCTCCTCATTCGTAGCATTTGACAATTTCCTGTCAGCATCCCTAACCTTACTTTTAGCCTCGCCATTTACCTTTGATGCCGCTGCACATCGTTTCTCCTCATTCGTAGCATTTGCCAATTTCCTGTCAGCATCCCTAACCTTACTTTTAGCCTCGCCATTTACCTTTGATGCCGCAGCACATCGTTTCTCCTCATTCGTAGCATTTGACAATTTCCTGTCAGCATCCCTAACCTTACTTTTAGCCTCGCCATTTACCTTTGATGCCGCTGCACATCGTTTCTCCTCATTCGTAGCATTTGCCAATTTCCTGTCAGCATCCCTAACCTTACTTTTAGCCTCGCCATTTACCTTTGATGCCGCAGCACATCGTTTCTCCTCATTCGTAGCATTTGACAATTTCCTGTCAGCATCCCTAACCTTACTTTTAGCCTCGCCATTTACCTTTGATGCCGCTGCACATCGTTTCTCCTCATTCGTAGCATTTGCCAATTTCCTGTCAGCATCCCTAACCTTACTTTTAGCCTCGCCATTTACCTTTGATGCCGCAGCACATCGTTTCTCCTCATTCGTAGCATTTGACAATTTCCTGTCAGCATCCCTAACCTTACTTTTAGCCTCGCCATTTACCTTTGATGCCGCTGCACATCGTTTCTCCTCATTCGTAGCATTTGCCAATTTCCTGTCAGCATCCCTAACCTTACTTTTAGCCTCGCCATTTACCTTTGATGCCGCAGCACATCGTTTCTCCTCATTCGTAGCATTTGACAATTTCCTGTCAGCATCCCTAACCTTACTTTTAGCCTCGCCATTTACCTTTGATGCCGCTGCACATCGTTTCTCCTCATTCGTAGCATTTGCCAATTTCCTGTCAGCATCCCTAACCTTACTTTTAGCCTCGCCATTTACCTTTGATGCCGCAGCACATCGTTTCTCCTCATTCGTAGCATTTGACAATTTCCTGTCAGCATCCCTAACCTTACTTTTAGCCTCGCCATTTACCTTTGATGCCGCTGCACATCGTTTCTCCTCATTCGTAGCATTTGCCAATTTCCTGTCAGCATCCCTAACCTTACTTTTAGCCTCGCCATTTACCTTTGATGCCGCAGCACATCGTTTCTCCTCATTCGTAGCATTTGACAATTTCCTGTCAGCATCCCTAACCTTACTTTTAGCCTCGCCATTTACCTTTGATGCCGCTGCACATCGTTTCTCCTCATTCGTAGCATTTGCCAATTTCCTGTCAGCATCCCTAACCTTACTTTTAGCCTCGCCATTTACCTTTGATGCCGCAGCACATCGTTTCTCCTCATTCGTAGCATTTGACAATTTCCTGTCAGCATCCCTAACCTTACTTTTAGCCTCGCCATTTACCTTTGATGCCGCTGCACATCGTTTCTCCTCATTCGTAGCATTTGCCAATTTCCTGTCAGCATCCCTAACCTTACTTTTAGCCTCGCCATTTACCTTTGATGCCGCAGCACATCGTTTCTCCTCATTCGTAGCATTTGACAATTTCCTGTCAGCATCCCTAACCTTACTTTTAGCCTCGCCATTTACCTTTGATGCCGCTGCACATCGTTTCTCCTCATTCGTAGCATTTGCCAATTTCCTGTCAGCATCCCTAACCTTACTTTTAGCCTCGCCATTTACCTTTGATGCCGCAGCACATCGTTTCTCCTCATTCGTAGCATTTGACAATTTCCTGTCAGCATCCCTAACCTTACTTTTAGCCTCGCCATTTACCTTTGATGCCGCTGCACATCGTTTCTCCTCATTCGTAGCATTTGCCAATTTCCTGTCAGCATCCCTAACCTTACTTTTAGCCTCGCCATTTACCTTTGATGCCGCAGCACATCGTTTCTCCTCATTCGTAGCATTTGACAATTTCCTGTCAGCATCCCTAACCTTACTTTTAGCCTCGCCATTTACCTTTGATGCCGCTGCACATCGTTTCTCCTCATTCGTAGCATTTGCCAATTTCCTGTCAGCATCCCTAACCTTACTTTTAGCCTCGCCATTTACCTTTGATGCCGCAGCACATCGTTTCTCCTCATTCGTAGCATTTGACAATTTCCTGTCAGCATCCCTAACCTTACTTTTAGCCTCGCCATTTACCTTTGATGCCGCTGCACATCGTTTCTCCTCATTCGTAGCATTTGCCAATTTCCTGTCAGCATCCCTAACCTTACTTTTAGCCTCGCCATTTACCTTTGATGCCGCAGCACATCGTTTCTCCTCATTCGTAGCATTTGACAATTTCCTGTCAGCATCCCTAACCTTACTTTTAGCCTCGCCATTTACCTTTGATGCCGCTGCACATCGTTTCTCCTCATTCGTAGCATTTGCCAATTTCCTGTCAGCATCCCTAACCTTACTTTTAGCCTCGCCATTTACCTTTGATGCCGCAGCACATCGTTTCTCCTCATTCGTAGCATTTGACAATTTCCTGTCAGCATCCCTAACCTTACTTTTAGCCTCGCCATTTACCTTTGATGCCGCTGCACATCGTTTCTCCTCATTCGTAGCATTTGCCAATTTCCTGTCAGCATCCCTAACCTTACTTTTAGCCTCGCCATTTACCTTTGATGCCGCAGCACATCGTTTCTCCTCATTCGTAGCATTTGACAATTTCCTGTCAGCATCCCTAACCTTACTTTTAGCCTCGCCATTTACCTTTGATGCCGCTGCACATCGTTTCTCCTCATTCGTAGCATTTGCCAATTTCCTGTCAGCATCCCTAACCTTACTTTTAGCCTCGCCATTTACCTTTGATGCCGCAGCACATCGTTTCTCCTCATTCGTAGCATTTGACAATTTCCTGTCAGCATCCCTAACCTTACTTTTAGCCTCGCCATTTACCTTTGATGCCGCTGCACATCGTTTCTCCTCATTCGTAGCATTTGCCAATTTCCTGTCAGCATCCCTAACCTTACTTTTAGCCTCGCCATTTACCTTTGATGCCGCAGCACATCGTTTCTCCTCATTCGTAGCATTTGACAATTTCCTGTCAGCATCCCTAACCTTACTTTTAGCCTCGCCATTTACCTTTGATGCCGCTGCACATCGTTTCTCCTCATTCGTAGCATTTGCCAATTTCCTGTCAGCATCCCTAACCTTACTTTTAGCCTCGCCATTTACCTTTGATGCCGCAGCACATCGTTTCTCCTCATTCGTAGCATTTGACAATTTCCTGTCAGCATCCCTAACCTTACTTTTAGCCTCGCCATTTACCTTTGATGCCGCTGCACATCGTTTCTCCTCATTCGTAGCATTTGCCAATTTCCTGTCAGCATCCCTAACCTTACTTTTAGCCTCGCCATTTACCTTTGATGCCGCTGCACATCGTTTCTCCTCATTCGTAGCATTTGCCAATTTCCTGTCAGCATCCCTAACCTTACTTTTAGCCTCGCCATTTACCTTTGATGCCGCTGCACATCGTTTCTCCTCATTCGTAGCATTTGCCAATTTCCTGTCAGCATCCCTAACCTTACTTTTAGCCTCGCCATTTACCTTTGATGCCGCTGCACATCGTTTCTCCTCATTCGTAGCATTTGCCAATTTCCTGTCAGCATCCCTAACCTTACTTTTAGCCTCGCCATTTACCTTTGATGCCGCTGCACATCGTTTCTCCTCATTCGTAGCATTTGCCAATTTCCTGTCAGCATCCCTAACCTTACTTTTAGCCTCGCCATTTACCTTTGATGCCGCTGCACATCGTTTCTCCTCATTCGTAGCATTTGCCAATTTCCTGTCAGCATCCCTAACCTTACTTTTAGCCTCGCCATTTACCTTTGATGCCGCAGCACATCGTTTCTCCTCATTCGTAGCATTTGCCAATTTCCTGTCAGCATCCCTAACCTTACTTTTAGCCTCGCCATTTACCTTTGATGCCGCTGCACATCGTTTATCCTCATTCGTAGCATTTGACAATTTCTTGTCAGCATCCCTAACCTTACTTTTACCCTCGCCATTTACTTTTGGTGCCGCTGCACATCGTTTCTCCTCATTCGTAGCATCAGAAACTGTTGATTCCAAAGAGCTGATCTTACATGGTTCCATGGATTGCACAGGAACCAAATGTACACGAAGAGAACCATCACCAATAGACCGAAGATCTACCTGTGGCAACGACAACAGAAAGCGGGAAAACTTTTTATGTCCATACCAATTCTTATCCAAACACGCATCAATTTTCATCAACTCAGCGCAAAGATGAGCAACCTCCATTCCTTCGGGATGCAAACTCAAAATATTGCAAATCTTAGTCAAAACCGACTTAGGAACCGTGCTCCTAGAAGGGCAGACCTCCACATTGGGCAACGAGGTAGCCTGCAGAGCTGCAACTGTGATCGGTTCCTCCGTCGCCAGATCCGCCACCGTCACCGGTTCCTTGTAGTTTCCATACCAAGAGCCAAGAGGCCCATCAGGAGGGTGGTTGAGGACCTTTCCAGTAATATTTTCTCCGTTGAGCAACGAATCCCACATCCAGGCTATCGTGGCAGCACTGTGGAGAACACTAGGAGTTTTCTCCGGCGTAGCGAGCAATATATTGTAATTACTCATTCTCAAGCGGTGTAACGTGCCAGCGAAGTTTCTATCGCCGGATATCAGAAATATGTGCGCCGGCGGAGGGTTCTGAGAAACCCAATACATTAGATCAACGAGAATGTCGGCACTGTTTCTTCCCTCTGCAACCGGACATAGTAAATAAAAGATGGGAAAATAGAGAGAAACAGAATAATAGTGAGGGACGAGGAGGAACAAAAACCGTCAGAGACGTGGATGAAGCGAACGCCGGTGTAGGCGAGTGCTTCCTGATGAGCCCTGCGGAGTTGTTGAACGTCGCCGAAAGCGGTGATGTTGAGAGGTCCTTTGATTCCGTTTGCTCTCACTGCCTCCATTATTGCCGGTGCGACTTTGGAAGCGTCGAAATCCGGGGGCACGTGGCAGTTCTTGAAGTCCCACCATGCCCAAACCCTCACGTTTCGCGATTCTTCCTCGGAGCGCGCAGGGGAAGGTGACGGTTCGCACGGTTCGAGCGTGCGAGCTGAGAAAGAGGACATGAAGAATATGGTTTTGGCGAGAACGGGCCTCGCCGCTGGGATCACGAACAAGCGCGAAACGGTTGCCATGGCTGTGTCTCCGAACCAGGAGAAGATCGCTGCTTCTCACGCTAAAACCCTTGCTCTACCCTGGCCTAGGTTTTAAGAAAAATAAAATAAAAAATAGAAGCTTTAATTTTACAAAAAAAAAATAACGAAATCTGGCATGAAATAAAATGTATAGAATTACAAAATTATATGGACTGAAAGTCGAAAACATTTTTGTATTCTTTTATTAATTCAATTACGTTTTTCAATTCTATCAGGATATACTTAATTTACCATAAAATATCATCATAAACACATGGATATAGATAACTAAAATAGATTATTAAACTATTAGAAGATTATTCCACATCCACTGAACTTATTCAAAATTTTAATTTTTCAATCTTAACAACCATTAGTAAAAAAATTGACTTCTAGTGAACTTATAAGTTTAGAGACTGAATTATAAAACTGTAATTTTTTAAGAATTCATGAAAAATATAATTTTCTTTGACCAGAAGAGGAAGACTTAGTGGGCTTCTATTAAAACCAGTAATTCAATTGATGATCTTCTGGGCTTAGGCCTATATCCAATTCAAGTGGGCCCTGCTATTTGCACCCTTTCCAATTTTAAAAAATCTAAACAATTTAACTCAACGAAAACTAAATTTTGTTGTGTTGATTCTTTAAATAGAATAACGCAAAAGCTTGTTTGCAGTGTTAATTTATCTAAAATAATAAATTATTGTTCTGTTAATTCTTTTAAAAATAAATTATATTATAAAAATGTATTTTAAATTCACTCCAACAGAAATTTCTTTCTCTCATAAACAATTTACAATTTTTTTAATTTCCAAATTATTTTAAAATTATGTTTCGTTCTTAAATTAAATATTTGTCATCTTTTAAATATTTGTCATAAATAAATGGCCAGAGAATTGAAAAAAGGTGTTAAAAGAAAGGTTTGTCTTGTTGAGAAAAGAAAGTGACCAAGATGAATGGTAAGGGTGGAAAGAGTTGTTGGAAGAGTGAAGAAGGGATGAAAGAGTAGCAGTGCTGTAAAAGAAAAAAGGATGATGAAGTTAAGGTTGAAGGAAGAGAGAAAGTGTTAAACGAGTCTTGTTCTGTGTGGAAAAAATGTGGTGAGAATGGTTCAAATAAGAAAAGAAAAGCAGCATGGGAAGATGCAGAGATGGACCCAGAAATTCAACATTTGATAGAAACAATATGGGAGGTTGATAACTGTCCCCCAATGCTAACAGGAGAAATAACTCTTCAGCTAAAACCAAAGCCACCATTGCCTCCAAGACCAAAGTTACAGAGAGTTTACAAAATTCAAGATCTTATGTCACGCACTAACCAAGGACCCTCGTCTTCTCTATAGTTCTCATCAAACTACAACCATCTTATTCTCCGACTTCAGTTTTTCATTTTTGAGTTTGTTTGGTATGTTTTTTCTGACAATTTTATGTTCTTATGAACAGTCTTAGTTTAAGTTTCGAGAGAGTAAAAGTTCAAGTTATCCTTTAATATTGGTTTAACATTCGTGTACAATCATCTCTTCATTCTTGAAAATATTTCTGATGTATAGACAAAAAAAAAAAAAGCTAAAGATAAGACCAATTTATAATATATAAGTGAGGTGCAGACCTCACCTTACAAGTCAGTTTTGTGGAGTTGGGTTAGGCTTAAAGTCCACTTCTAACATGGTATCAGAGCATGGTTAGAGTATATCCTAGTGAGTTCTAAGTGGGCATTCTATTATTCTATTCCACCCGCTATCCGGCCGCTATTGGACCACCTAATTTTTAGTATCACGCACGAGATGTCTATACCTCGGTATGAAGGGGGTGTGTTGGAAGTCCCACATCGACTAAAGATAAGGCCAATTTATAATATATAAGTGAGGTCCAAACCAAGCCGGTTTTGTGGGGTTGAGTTAGGCTTAAAGTCCACTTCTAACAAAGACATATAATCATATTTTAATCTATTGTAAAGTTTCATTTGTAACATCAAAAATACTTTATTTCAGTGGAAAAAAATGAATATACGACTTTATAAAATAATATATATATATATATATATATATATATATATATAAAACAACCATTTTCTTTTGTAGTCTCTTAATTTTTTCTTGCATATAAGATGTATTATTCCATTTTATTTTTTTAAAAAAATATTAAAAATTCTAAATTTCTTTCCTCTTCTTCTTGAGAGGCACTAAGCTCTTCTTGACCTTCACGCTTTTGTCATCATCTTTAGTCATCATCAATTTCATCTTCATCGTCTTCACACAACCATAAACACAATGAATCAACCATTATCTTCATCTCGTCCTCTATTCCAAGTACACAATCTCATCCCAAATGATTTTCGGTGACGGTGCATAAGTGAACATAGAAGATTTTGAATCTCTCCAAAGCGGCATAATGACAACATTTCCAAATCGGTGTTCCTAGGCACTATGGCAGTGGTTGTGGTGTTGAGAGTGTTAGTAGTTAAGTTATCTAAATTTCTGTTTTGCATTTACGATGCTAAAATTCAGCTCCTGATATTTATGTAACCACCTATGTATTACGCATGGAGTGAGTAGTTTATGTTTATGTAAATTTCTATAAATTGTTGTAATCCAATTTACATTTTGTGAATAAAAAATATCAGTTTCATTTTAGGAAAATCTTATTTAGCTACTTGAGTTAACAATTTAATATTAAAGCCTCATAATAGGTCTGAACAGAATCTTCTAAGTAAATTAAGTGATACATTAGGATTCTTAAATCAAACATTGGGTAGAGAGTGACTGAAGCAACAAACTTGTGTTTTCTCTTTCTGAAGCATCATTTAGAAAAATGATTGAATCAGCAAAATATGTACAACCTACAATTCCTAAATTTTATGGACACAATTATCACTAGGCAAAGCTTATGGAGTGAACGTAGTTTTAGATAAAACTACTGCAACAGAGGCAAAAATCAAATTAGTGGAGGAGCATAAACTCAGGGATTTAAAAATAAAAAACTATCTCTATCAGGCGATAGAGACATTGTAGACACCATTCTCAATGATGTCATGTCAAAAACATATGGTATTCCATGAAGAAAAAAGTTCTAAGGTTCAACACAAGTCAAACAAGCATAATTACAATCACTATGCAATGAGTATGAGATGTCGTAGATGAAAGCTATTGGAGAAAGTATGCAAGAGAGTGTCATAACTGCAAAAAAGTCTCACAATCTATGACAATCCAATTCAACTATATAGTGTGTTCCATTAAAGAAAAAAATAACTTAGATACTATGACAATTGACGAACTACAAAGTAGTCTATTATTTCATGAATAAAGAATAACACTTCCAACAACTAAAGAAAGGTTATGCAAAATGAGAAAGGTGAAAGAGGAAAAGGAAGAGGAAGAAGTAGAAAAGGTTTTCGAGGTAGAGGAAGAGGAAGACAAGCATTCAACAAGGCTAAAGTTGAATGTTTCAAGTGTCAGAAGCTTAGATATTTTCAATATGAATATCCATAGTGGAAAAAGAAGACACCCTATGTTGAAACAAAGGATCAAGAAGAATAGGAGGAGGAGGTCTTGTTGATGACCTTAGCAAAATGTAAAACAGGAAAGAAAGATGAATTATTCATAGACTCAGGATGCACTAGCCAGATAAGGGGTAATAATGAGTGATTCTCAAAATTAGATGAGACTTTTCAACACAAAGTAAAGTTGTGAAATAATATCCACTTGATTGTGACGGGGAAGGGAAATGTTTAGATGATGGTGAATAAAACTATACATGTAGTTACATATGTACATTAGGTTCCAAAACTCAAAAATAACCTATTGAATATTAAATAGCTTTAAGAAAAAAGTTTAAACATTACGATTTAGATAAATAAATACAATATTATTTACTAAAAAAATGGTTGATTATGAAGGTATATATGAGTGCAAACATGATCTTTGTTCTAATAACAACCATAAAAAGTGAATCAACAAGTTATTTTCAAATTAACGAAGAGGACAACTCTCACTTCTATTATAGAAACCCATAAGTAAAATCTTTGAAGTTTTAAATAATTTATGTAATTATCTTCCAACTTTTAATAATTATGTTAAATAATTTGTTTACAAAAGTTATTAAATTTAATAACTTGAACAACTCATATCTTTAAGCTAATTTTTAATGTGGGTATTTGAAATATTATTTCAAGATAAACAATATTTCTTAGCAATTTATCTTGGTATAGATTATACCACATGGTATTATATATAAGTTGATTGTAAAAGGTGTTCCAAAATATGTTATGCTCCGTACTAGATAAAAAAAACCAAAGTAGTATTTTAAATCTTAACACTAAAATCTTTTCCTCATAATTTTAATATTAAAATAATAATTTTATTGAATATTTAAACTTGTATAACGCTATGAAATCCATAGCTTTAAAATAAAAAAAAAGAAAACTCATTTATGTATTTGAGAGGACAAGAAACTATTAACCTGAAATAAAAGGAGCTGCATAATTAAATTCAAATTTTGAACGATTTACTTATATCTTTGTTTGGGCGCTACTTCAATTGCATGAGGCTGACATGTTATAATGCGATTAGTTGATATGCCAAAATAGACAATTCATGAACCAATTTTTCTCATCTTTCGTACTACTTTATTACGATAATATAACAACTCATAATTTGTGAATACAACCCTTGTCACGGAAGCTACGGATGTTTTTTTTTTTTCTCAGAACTAAGTTTTCTTTTCTTTTCATTTTTTTTAAAGAATCATGGTCGTGACACGTGTTTAAATTTTATGTTTGTGTTTCAATTTGTATTGTTTATAGAAGATAGAAGTGACCACCTTAGGAACTGTTTACATAGATAGTACACACTAAAAATGATTTCCGCTTATGTTCTAATATAATAATATTAACATTAATTTCACCAAAATAAAACAAATATACTCTAATAACATCATGTTTATTTAGGTGATTAAGTTACAACTTTTGAGTTGCCATTGTAAGTTGTTTAAAAAAAATAAAGTTCTTTTTATGAAATAATTATTGTTTATAAATAAACAAATAAAATATTTTTCATTATTTCT